CCTCTTTTTCTATCAAAAGAAAAACTATATAGAAATTTGTGTTTGATATATTTTTTTTCTTTTTTAATCTAAGTTTCTCATGGAACGGTTCTAAAACTATATTTAAATTTAAGAACAAAAAGATTTCAAGAGCCAAAGTGAGCATAGCTCAACGGTAATTGACATATACCTCCAATCGAGAGGTTGTGAGGTCGTGGAGCTCAGCGATAACTTATTCTTCTTTGACGTGTAATCATATTTTAAAATTTTAGTCGCTTTTTAAAATATAAAAAACTAATCATCAATTTTCTTTTTGAAATTTGGGTAAAGAAAAAGCATGACGGACAAACTTAATTTTAAAATGTAAAACTAAAAACAAAATTGTTATTTAACCACATTTAGAACTTTATTTGACAAGTTTGATGTTGATTTCAACGTGAAGGAGGAAAAAATAAAATAAAAAAAGAAAAAGCAGAGAAATTAAAAGCAAAATAATAAAAAATATTATATATGTTAATTTTGATGGACACTATTCATTCAATTAAAGGATAATTCCATTTGAAGAATTTTAAATTTGGAAGATATAATGTTCTAAAATAACCAAACAAATGTTTATAATATAATCTAAAATGTACATCAAATAAAATGTACATCAACATGTGTTTGTATTCTTGCTTAATTTACTCGGTTAAGAGTCTGCCTACTTAACCATTAATTAATGACTTTGTAACACCACTCAACTAGACTTACATTAGTGGATACAGAGCTCCACGTCTTTGCCGCTGCACCATCTCTAAAGTATAGCGTCACCATTTTATTTTATAACACTAATACGTAACTCATATGTTTGCCTATGGAATTTGAGCTTTTATTATGTTGAACCTATCCTCTACTTCTCTAGTGACAGCATTCACCATCTGCATAAGAAGAAAGAAAATTAAAATCCATAACTCAGTTGGAAGTTAAAATATCCTATTTATGAGTAATCTTATTATAAAACATGAGAATATTTGAATGGCTAGATATATTCTTTTAATTTGTTTGCAATTTTTAAAATGTTAAATTTTATCTTTTAAGGGTATACAAATTTTCTTTTTCTTATGGTTTGGATCGAAGTTACTTGAATATTTTCCATACTAAACTAACACTAAACGCGGCTCAAATGTACCGTGTTATTTTCCATACTACTTGACATATCAAGACTTTATTAAGATTGACTCATTTAGATTTAACACTCAATTGATCTTTAACCTTGCACAGATTTTACTTAGACATGTATGGCTCTATCTCGAGGATGACTATTTGAATGTGCCAACGGAGCTATCACTATGTCTCTCCCTCCTTCTCATACTGTTCCTTTCAAAGGGCGTTTTGTTATGTGACATCAAAATGGGCAAATATGACGCCAAATGTGCATCAAATTGTAAGGAGTCATTCGCTACTCGCCATTAAATCAGCCATATGAAATTTGACACTTGGCGTGCTTTTTGGTATCTATAATGTGTTTCCAAGCCAATATTCACTCCACCAATGGTTGACCCATGCCTAATTTCTGGGTCTGGACACTTAACCCGAAGCAAACTCTATATTCAAATATTTTTCTTGAGAAGTATGTGCGTTAGAACAAAACGTGTTGAAAAATAACTTGTATTATTTGATTTTTTACTCGTAGAAATTTGGACTTCAATGATAGTTAAAAACTGTCACATTAACATAATTCATGATAATTATATAAGTTGTAATTTGTCACGAATAGATGTTTCATCACAATTGAAAAATGTCACAAAAACTAGTTTGACGATAATTTATAACTGTCACTAAAATAATCAAATATTTAATTCTTTTATCAATAAAAACTTAATAACGATAGTTTATAAATGTCATGAAATATTTTTTAACGACAATTTATAATTGTCATCAAATGTTTTTCAATGGCTGTTTTTCAACGTTGTATACTCTTCAATCTTGAAAACAAATTGGTTTAGGGATCAAGTTTTGATTTTGACTAACCCATAAGATTTTAGATTGGATTGACTAGAATTAATTTTCAGAATTATCAAATATTTGAACATTAATGACTACTTGAAGTTGATCTTTATTATATACTAACCTCTAAATTTAACTCCTCCTTTGTTGCATGTCCTCTTAGATAACCAAACTTGGAAACCCTAGACAAACTCCAGCTCTCTATCTGCACCATATATAAACAAAGATAAATTTTTAAAATAAACTTTTAATTCTGATTTGGTAACAATTTTGATTTTAATTTTTAAATTTTATATCAATAAACAAGCCTATTTAACAAAAATTAAAACGAAATCATTATAAAACATATTGTTTAACGTATGTAATGTACGACGATAGATAGAACGAAGTTAGAAAAGAAAGAGAAAGAGTGTAATCGGAGTACATGTACGGGAAAGTTGTCGAGGGTGAAACCCGCCATGCCGATGATCACGTGCACCGGAGCCGAGTAATTGGTATGATCATATGTATCAATTCCATTTCTATCTTTGGAAGGCATTGCCTTGCAAATGTTGTTGAAAACAGAGCATGTTCTCTCATAGTTATGCACATGCCCAAATAAGGCCAAATCTACCTACAAAACATATCAATCTCAATATATGAGCTTTTAATTTTATGTTTTTGAAAATTTAGCTTATAAACACTTTTGTATTTATTTGTTCATAACTTTTAAAAATAAAAAACTAAGAATAAAGCCGTTATGAAATAGAGTATTGACTTTCATTCATCTTGAATAACTTTTGACCCAACCACGAGAAGAGAATTTGGAAAAAAAATAGATATTATTATGAACCGGGTTGGGCTCTTTTACCTGAATATTTATGTTATGATGTTATTTTTAGTATAGAGTATAGAAAAAGTGACCTTATTTTGTAGGAGAAGTGGTTCTATCGCTACAACGAATCTTGGATCAACACTAGGAATAATTCCATCCACCGAAGAGTACATTGGTCTATGCCTACATATCATTAAAAACGTCTCAAAAACTTTGTGATAATTTAATAATTGAACATATTTGAACTAATCAAGCTATTAATAACCTTGTTTAGATGTGTGATGCTATAAACTTAAAAATATATATTTGAAAATATGTACACATAATTTAATTAGTTTTCTTTCTTTTTTTTTTCTTCTTATTTTAAGCTCTAAAATTTGTAATAACTTACCCGGTGAAAATAAGCCATGGTGTTTTCGACCTGTCAACAGAGGCCATGTCATTCTTCATCCATTCATACTGTTCAAAAAAAAAAAAGCACAATTTTATATCAATTAATTGAATAAGACATATATTAGGGCGGACAAAAAAAATACAAAAACCACTCATCAAGCCATGAACTAAAAATGGTTATCTTCTAAAACTTTTAATTTAAGCAAAAAAAAATGTCTTGTCACATCCTCCACTATTCTTTTTTCTTTTTTTTAATCCGTGAGTGTCCGGACTAACTTACGCACACCTGATTAATCTTACGGGCAACCGTCTAACCCTACAACATTAGATGCCGGAAAACACATAGAAATTACTAATTTTAAGGTAGGTAGCCATCATGGAGTTTGAATACATTCCTTCTCAATTAACCCTAGCCCATGATGAACACATTCTCTGCTATTCATTATCCATTTTTTTCATCTCGATCATCTAAAGATCGGTAAAAAATCAAACATAATTTTATCGAAAGATCCATAAGTGTCCATTTAGTACACAATATATTGGGATAAATATGATTAGGATTATTATCATTAAAGAGAAAGAAAGGGGGAAATTTTGTTGGGGGCAAACCTGTGGTGAGTTGATAGAAAAATCATGCTCAGTGGAAATGAGAGTGAAGTGAACAGATGCAATTTCAATGGAATACCATGGCTCATCTTTTGCAGAGATTGGCATTTGAAAATATGTTTCATAAGGAACTCCACATTCTCCTCCTGAATCAGGTAGTTTATACATTGATCCTGACTCATCGTAATCCCTGCACATACTCAACAAATAAAACTTATATCAACTTAGGACAGGTTCAAGGTTGAATGGAATGATCACCGAGACTACTCCAATATCAAAATAGCGATGCATGGCTCACTCTCATCATCGAGTTGATCCAAAGAAGCAAGGGTCCGAGCTCGACCTAGGCCCAAATCCTACTAGCCTCAAACATTGTTTGGATCGGACTTGAACCGATCCAACCACTAAAACCTAGACCCATCACCCAATCTATATGCCTAAATCAATGAGTCAGAGGTGCATTGGACTTGGATCAGCCATTTGGATTGGATTAGCCAATATAATAAATTACTTTTTAATTATTAAAAAATATTTATTAAAACCTTGTTCTTTGAGTTTTAGAACTGTGTTTTCATTTTATGTTTTGTACTATTTTTTAAATTTTTAAAAAATTATCAATAAATTTTGTTATATCAATAAATAATTTTTTTTAGAGGAATGAGAATGACAAAAAAAGAAAAAAATTAACCCTAAAGAATAATAATAGACTATATATTAGATCATGTTTTTCGACCGACCCAACAAGCCTATCAAAATTTTAAAAAGAACAAAGATTCATATATAATCAACAGTTGAAATAGGTCGGGCCGTGTCAAACGTTGACCTTGGACCAAGTTTGGATTGGGTCTGGAATGGACTTGGATCGACCTTTGGACTTTGAGCCCGACGATGAAACAGATGCATGACAATGGTATGAAAAGATGGATGACAGGTTTTCGTACCTCTCATGGTTTCCAATGGCAGTCATGTAAGGAACGCGAGAGGCAATGGGATTGATGAGGTGAAGGAAGAAATCCCATTCAACTAAGAATCCAGTTGCATAGCTTATGTCTCCAATGTGAAACACTGCATCTATTTCTCCAGATTCTACTTCCTCTTCCATTGCTTTCACCACTGGGATCGATCCTGGCTAGTATCCACAACATACATTCAATATAATTCTATTTTACTCTATAAACTTTCCTTAAAATCTCATTAATATTTGTGCTTATTTTGTTATGGTTTGAATTTAAATTCAAATTTAGACTAAATCATTAAAGGAGAAATGAACTGGAATGACTAAAATAATAAACGTAAATCAATGATTTGAAACAGTCAGAAGTTTTTCAAAGTTTAGTTAGGATTTTAGGTATTACAAATAGAATATGTACATAATCAAAATCATAATTTTTTAATCTAAATAAAATAGAATAATTTATCTATCTACATTTTTTTTTATATAGTTTTTCGAATTGACCCTAATATATATGGTTTAATAATAATGTTGTACCTGAATATAATGCTCAACAGAAGAAGAATCCAGAGGAGCTTTTCCCATATCACCAAAAGCAATGAAATTAAACTCCTTCGCCGCTCCGGCGGCCGGCGGCGTCTTGAACGTTTTCCGATCACTCCAACCAACTGAATCACTGCAATTTCACATCAAATATAACCCTCAAATTTTCCATTAACTCCGTTAAATTTTACGTAAAATACACTTTTAGTCCCTTCAATTTATAAAATGAATCTAAATGATTTTTACTGTTAGTTTGACTAGTTTGAAAATGATGCAGCGATTAAGTTGTTGACGGTATATTAGTTGATTTGTCAAAACTATATTAATTTAATATATATATTTTTTAAGGCGATTGAACTTTCTATATCCTTTCAATCTTCCCCCCTTTCTTCAACAAACTATGTCACACTGCTGCTTGTCATCTCTCTTGCTCTTCGTTCAGATCTTCGGTCAGATTCGTCCTCGTTCGAATTCGAATTCGACGAAAGAGGAACGCTTCCTCTTCCCGATTTGGAAGTTTCTCTTCCTAGTCCATCTTTTTATTTTATTTCCGTTGAAAGTAGTACCTACTACTATGATAATACAAGATATTTTTCCGTATAGTTCAAACGAACTAAACCGATGCAGTTGGACAGTGAAAAAATACCTTCCATAACGGTATGAATAGGTGGTAGAAGGCTGAAGTTGTGTCATTACTGCAGAATGAATGAAGCCTGGGTCATGCCAACCAAAGTCCCTTGCTGGACTTTGAATTGATGCTGAATCTGTCACCAAATCAAAATCTTTACAATTCAAATCACAATTATCTCCAAAAATCAAAATATATATACCCATTATTATTTTTTTTAATAAATTCACAAAATTTCTTCTTTTTTCTTTCCTCACTTGGATGGTTCAAATTTAGTATTAAAATCAATACATGTGACTTAGAATATATACACAAGTCCACATTTAAAAAATGGTTAAAATTTGTTAACAAAAAAGTTAATGTATCATTATTTGAATACGTAGACGCCCACTCAGATGTCATTTGACACATGAACTCAGACTTTTCCACCGTCGTAATATCCAAATATAATGAAACAATTATAATTTGATGACACGTCAGATTTATATTAGTAAATTAATAACTGAGTACCTAGAAGATTATATTAGACATTAAAAATTAAAATGCAATAATAAAGACCACCTTAATGATCTAAAAGAACATAAAATTAATTTTCCATAAATCTCAAGAACTTTTTTCTTTCTGTTATATAGAAATAAATAATTAAGAAATGGAAAAAAGGAACTCACTGCACATGTCATTTTGTGAAAATGTTGAAACTTGAGAGGTTTGTGTTCTTCCTTCTTCTCCATATTGGACTTGTTGGGGCTCTTTATCCCCACTCACCCAACTCACTCTCATCTGATTCATAATTTCTTTCGATCAAATACCAATTTCTTTTTTTTTTAATCAACAACAATTTAATAAGCACATGATCTTGGTTTTTCTTTTCTAAAATGTTCCAAATTTTTTAACTTTATATTCACTGTGATTTATTTGAGACGCATAATTGAAAGTTTAGACGACACAATTTTAAAGATATGAATTTGGGGACTCACCGATGTTCCAGTAGAATCAGTGCTAGAAAGATGTCCGTACAATGGAGCATTGGGATTTTGGAAGTTGAGAGGCGGCGTTGTTTTGAGGATGAGGCAAGGGGCGATAAAACCGCCACCAAATAGAGCGAATTCCACGTCGGTTCTGAAGTTGATGACGTGGAATGACAGAGTGGCACTACACGTCTCTAGTAGGCATCTCCCTCCGACACTTTTCTTACACTCTTTTTTTTTGCAACCCATGTAATCTGGATCGCTCTTTAAAAATGCTGCCTGCAAAAATATATATATATATATATATATATATATATTAAATTGTATACGAATAGCATAAATTTAGTTTCAATTCAAACAAAAAAAAAATTATCCCACAGAAAAAAAGGTGAAGTTTGTGATATTTTTCTAAAAAGTAAAAGTATTGATATTTTCAAAATCCATATAATATTTTTGCTGTCCAATGTAATTTTATCTTTAATTTTTATTTTTTTCTAAATTTATTTAGGGTCATTTTGTCAAGTTAAATTACAAGTTTGATCCTTGAATTTGAACAACATATTTAACAAGTTTTTGAATTATAAAAAAAAAATTTTATATATATATATATACACACACGAATTATAACCAAACCAAACTGTTAAATAAGGCAGATTTCTTTTCTTTTTTTTTCTTTTTTTTTCTTTTTTCCTTCTAAAAAGAACTGTTAAAAGACGGTTGAGTCATAGTTGAAGCATGAAAGCCAATCCAAACGCTCAATAAAATTAGTATCTTTTTTATTATTATTTATTATTGATAAAAACTCAATGAAACTAAGTCATTTTTAATCTTGTAAAACTATTTTTTAATTTCAACCGATTATTTTCAATAAAAGTATATTTATTATTAAAGATAGTCAATTGGATGAAATATACCTTCTCCACACACTCATCAAATCAAAGAAACCTATTCACTTTAAAAAAATATACAAAATTTTTTATTATTAGAAATTTTCTAAGATAGAATAGGTTAAAAATTTCTAGAAACTGGATATGGGAAAGTGCATCTTCAACCCCAACCCGAGAAATTTCTGGTTCACCTGTTAATATACAAATCGAAAACCATAAAATAAATATGTAATTTACCTTGACAGGATAATGGCAAAGTAGAGGAAGGCTGCTAAAATCACCCGTTTGTAAATAAAAACCTTCCGACAATGGACAGCCATGAACACTGTTTTCATTCAACCAAATTAACCAACAAAATCAAGAGCTATATATTATTCCAACAATCGAAAAACAAAACACGAATAGTTTCAAGATACGTACTTTGCATTCGAGGGTGTGATCATAGCAACCCAATGATCTTCCAACGGAATCAAAACTCCGTTAACGGTAACGTTGATGAACTCTTCATTCGAAAGGTCCTTGAAATTTGAGATGACTTCAATTTGGATGAACTGGTTTAGGTTTGGACAGTCGATCAATTTTCTTCTATTGAGGAGTCGAAAATCCGATATCGCAGTGTAGTTACGATGTAATTTTGCAGAGTCGACGACCAACGGATGGAGCGACGACGAAGAAGATGGAAAGAATAATGGTAGAAGGAAGAGAAGCCTGGAAATGAAACTAAACTTGGGCAAGCTATCCATGTGAGAGTAATGAAAATTAGATTAGAGGTGGGGGAAAAATGTGGCCTTTAAATGTTTTGATGGTGGGGGAATGAATTAAATTGTGAGGGGGAGAGACAAGAGAATTAGGGTTGTTTAGGGACTAATCTAAAAATAGACTTTTCTATTTAAAAATATAAACTTTTAACGCAAATTAAATATCTATAAACGTTTGGTTTTATTTTCATCGTTAAAAGTTTTATATATTATATAATTCTTATAATTTGGTTAAATTTCTCTTAATTATTAATATATTAATGCCAACCTAAACTTAACTTAACGATAATTGACATTTTGATCCAAAAATCATAGTTGGAATCCCTCCACCTCTACTCCAGTTGTTGTACTAAAAAAATTATTGATGTATTAATCAATTTTCTTTAGATATAGTAGAGAAAAGTGATTAGTTGACTTTTGATATGTGATAGGTATAAATGTTAAATTTATGTATAATATAATTCATATACATGTACAACTAATATTAAGATTTGCGTTAGGCAAAAAATAAATGATGTATTGATTTCTCGGGTAAATGAATTATATGTTGTACAAACCTTAAAAAAAACCTTAAATCCCAAAATCTACTTCTCAAAAAAAAATCTACTTACCTTTTTTTCCTTTTCTGGAAATATTATTTGTTATTATTATTATTATTATTTTAGTTGATCAAGATGATTCATGATTCAAAAATCTTTACAAAATTTAGAACACACCGTGGTTTTAAATATTGAATGTTTATGTATATATCTCTAATTATGATATAGAAATTATCGTTAATTTTTTATTCTACATATATATCAGAAAGAAACTTTCAATCTATTTTGTCAAAGGAAAAAAATTTACAATCGTTTGAACTTCATCCTTGTGAGGTTGTTTGATTGATAATTAGTTTATAATTAAAAGAAAATGAAAATGTGAAATTAAAAAATATAATTTGTCAAAGATGACATTGACATTTAAAATAAATCAATGCTCTATTATTTAATTAGGAAAAAAATCATAGACTACAAAAATCATGCACAAAAATTTTGCATCTTATTGATACTATTAAAGTAGAAATCTTTTGTTCTTCACATACACACAAAATAATAATAATAATTATTAATAAATGTAATAAAAATAGTGTAATTAATATAATTAAATGGGATTGGGGAGATTTAGGTTTCATCATCAACTTACTATCATTCTTCTAAGTTGATAATACTTAGGAGACTTGGTTGTCTCTACTTGGCATGTTGCATTTTTACCTTTATCGTTCTAATTTGCTTTGTTTGTGGCTAGCTTTGATTTTTCCAATTATGCCCTATTAACCAATGTAAAGTCCTAACCAATTATATTAAATGTGTTAGCTTTTCATTTTTACTTTGCTAGTTGTGATGATTTTGCAAACTTAGAAATATTAACGAATTAGTAGTTGGAGGGGAACGAATTCACTCGAATTGATTAGCACGTCTAATTAATGTTATTTTTTTAGTGGAATACAATTTCAACTATGAAAAAGGAAACAAGAGATCTTCTCAAACTTTGAAATGAGCTACTATTTTATGAGAAAAATAAGAGTCGATGGTATATTGAGGACGATAATCCTAAATTTCCATTGTTGAAGTTTTATAGTCCCATAAGATAATTAATGTGTTAGTAACAACTGTTGCTGTCATTTCTCTTTCTACCCATAATTCAAAATCAATAGATTCATTGCACTTGTTGAAGAGTAAAAAATTTAGGGTGGATTAATTTGGTGATCTGGAGTTGTATTCCACATCTCTAGTATTTTTTAAATGTATTTGGTAACAGATTTGAAAATTTTGAACCTTAATTTAAAAAATAGTCCAATGTCTGTTAAGTATACTTGTAAATTAAGGTAGTTATCAACTATATTTAATTAAATCGAAAAATTTTATTAATTAATTTATTAACATATATAAATTATAACTTTTGTATCATTATTATACGTATATATAATATATAATATATTATGATTTACCTGTTTTAATTTTAACAAAAATGAAATATTTGTAACCTGAAATAGTATATATATATATATATATATAACAGCTTCTAGTTAAAAAAATACTTTTGTTAAAGTTACGACTTGATTCTTAAACTTTAGTTTGTAACGATTTTATCTCTATTCAAATTGATAACAATTCAATTCTCAAATTTTAGTATGTAATAATTTAGTGTTTGATACTTAATTTTAATAAGATTTTTCATGACAAGGACTATAAATCGTTACAAACCAAAATTCAGTTCTAGAACTAAATAGTTACTTTAATGAAAGTATAAAGGGTAAATCGTTATAAAAAAATAACGTTTAGGAACTAAATTTTATTAGCCTAAAAACAAATATGTCAAACAGATATTCATTAAATAAAAAAACAAGTTACAGAGTCCAAATTGCATACCAAACCGACCCCTAACTTGATCATTTCATTGAAATGAATGAGACCATTATACTACCCTCTATTTCAATTTTATTGAAGATTCAAAAACAAAGACGTTACCGAACACGAAGAAACTAAACACAAATTGATCTTTTGCTAACTATGTGTTGAAGTTAAGAAATGAGAGCAGCATAGAGAAGTTGATTCCAAGTATCAGGAAGGCCAGCAATGCACCAATGTGTGCAGTCCATTCCCCTGAAGCCATTGTAGCTGCTTGGATGTGCATCTTTTCTAAGCTGTGAAAGAGTTGTGATGTTCAGCAAATGAATTGGCTTTTTAATTCTTGCCAATACTTGTTGAACTGTGAATGATGCTGCTGGCAGACCACCTGGGTATGTTGAGCCAAGTAATGGGCTGCTTTCCTTTGCACAGTTTCTTGCTTCTGGCTCATTCCAGTCACTGCCACTGCAAAACATTTATCAAAGGGGATGAGCACTGAGATGGAAAACGACAACGTCTTTCTGTTAGAGTGACTAACGGAAAACTAATGACAATAATGACTGAAATGATCAAAAGTGTTTTCAATACCTTGGAGTAGAAGGCGTGTGTGTGAGACTTTTAAGTCTCGATAGAAATCAAACTCAAACTTCATAGAGCGAATTCAAAAGTATTTATGTCTAAAACTATTTTGATTGGATGTGGCTTGTAAAACGTTTGTTGTTCTTGAGAGGTTGTGATTGTTATTTTAGTTTCTCTATTATGGTTTGTGTTTAGTTTCACTTTAGTCAGTTCCAGTTTAGTTTGTTGGATCTGTAAGTGGAATATGTAAACAAAGTCCTATATTGATTGGGTTAGGAATCAACTTCATCTCCTCCGGTATCTCCTCCAGTATGAGACATTTTAGGTAAAACCAAATGCCCAAAGTAGACAATACTATACCATTGTGGAGATACATGGGAGTACAAGGGACAATGATGTCATTGTTGTTAACGTCTATAGGTTTTAAACTTTCGATTTGGTCTGTGTATAGTTTTATCAATAAATCTTCTAAAGTTAGTCTTTGGAGTCACCAAATTTTGATTTTCTCAGATGATACATTTCTTGGATGTGTGATAGGTGTTCAAAGGACCCGACAACTCGATGAACTCAACCCAAACCATAAGGGTTGGGTTGGGTCTCGGTTCAACCTTAAAAAATTCGGGTGAACCCGATACAACTAGAATTTATGTATATATATGTATTTTTTGTTAATTATAAATATATAATAATATTTTTATCTTCAATCTCAACCATCAATTTAGTTTTAATCTCATCCCTTCATTTAAGGTTTTCATATCATCTTCTTCCATTTTATATCTTAATCTTAGTCATCTTTTTAGTTTTAATCCTAGCTCCCCGTCGTTGCGTGATAATTAAAAATAAAAAATTGAAAAAAAAATATTAGGTTGGGTTGGGTTAAGTTGCCATCCAATTCAAATCCTATGGTTCTTATATATGGCCAACCCAAAAATTTAGGTTGGTCCCAAAATCCTTCCTAACTCAACTCAACCCAATCCATGTAACATCCTAATTGTGTGATATGTAATCTTATTTAGACATGGTAGAAAGATATGTGAGTTCGGATTCCAATGAAAATGTGTCCGGTAAGAAAAAGGCCAACATTTAAGTCAATAATCCAACATCTTGAGAGATTTAAACCAAAAATTATAGGAAGGAATCAAATTAAAATTAAATTGTGAGATCAACTGAAATGTAATATAATGCAAGAAGAAGATATAGAGATTTACTGGTAATGAGACGGAGAAACTCCTTGAAAGAAGACTCTTGTTTTGGTTGTATCAAGTTGATCTGAATCAACCCAATTTGCCCATGTTGTTAATCCATGGCGAAAAGCTTCCATTCGATCCATGTCCTTCAGTGTCTTGTTACCGATCTGAATGTAATCCCACCTATAAAATATAGATTCCGACACACATACCTTAAATTTTTTTTAGAGTGTTAGAGTATGTATAAAAAGATTAAATTTATCGTTGTCCATCAATTTAAACTTTTGAATTGATCAATGATTTAACAAGAGAGACGAGAGCTTACGGTTGTGTAGGTCCACTGCGATACCACCAAAGCCAAGTGTTGAAGATCAAAACATCCATATCCTTCCATATTTCACCACTTTTAATAGAATCAAGCTTCAAAACTCTCCCAAAATTGTGTTCCTCTTCAATATCCACCAAGTAATGGCTTAGAAATAGCATCAATGAAGTTCCATAATCCTGGGAAATTTTTTTATCATTCCAATAATGAAAAAGATTAAAAAATAACTTCCCCCTCAAAATTTCAATTTAATTCTTATATATAGTTCCATTCAAACTTCTCAAAACTTAATATTAACAATTTTTAAAGATGTCAAACCGAGTACARCTCAAGTGGTTAAGACATCTATCTCTGACCAAAAAGTCATGAGTTCGAATCCTCATCCCCACATGTTGAGTCGTCTCAAAACATTAGAAATTATAAATCGAAATTAGAACTTTTAAAATATAATAAAAGTGCAGTAACCTGGAATTTGATGGTGCGAATATCGCCATTGGTTTGTTGAATAATATTGGAATGAGGAACTGCAGCATGAAGCAAACATGCAAGTGACTGCCATTGATTCATGCTTATGGAGTCTCCCACAAACATTATCTTCTTCCCCCTTAGCCTTTCTAACAAATCCACTCCGTCAAATCTACACGAGTTCAAAACACTGATGTTTTAAATATCGATGTCGACTACAAACTCATAAGAGTAATTTGAGAGTCTTTCACCCATTTCTAGCAAATCTTGTAGTACAATCTAAGTATTATTCAACCGATTAAAGTATATATATAATTTTTAAAAACAATTAATAAACCAAACAAAACACTTAAAATCAAACGATAAAAAATTAAAAATTCTACTTGTTTCAAAAAAATTTTAAAAAATATACTGAAAATGTAAATTCACTATTTTAAAAGTTTGAAAACTTCATGAAATTTATTCTCTTCAAATAAAATTTATAAACTTAATTGTGTTACATTTTATTTTTAATATTTATGTATTTTGTAATTAAAAAAGCATGTTTTCATTTATGTATTTGAAAAATTAATATACATAATAATTTTATTTGTTTCTAAAATTTGTATTATTATTATAATTTTTTTTAATGACATTTCCAGAAAAAGACAGAGAAGGTAGACATCATTCTCCTCGTGAACAACAAAAAAGATGTTTGACAATGTATTTCAAAGTAAACGACATCAATGCCTCTTAAATTCAAAATCACCGAAACATGAAACGACACGTCGCACCGCAGCTAAGCAAAAAACCAAAGCAGTTTTTTATTTTTTTTTATTTCCTTGTTTATTGAAAAATTAAAATATATAATTATGTGACTGTTCTTTTATGGATGACTTTATTTAAGAATTATTTAAACCTACTTTTTTGTCATTGCATGTGAATATTAATTTCAAATTCAGAATAATATTTATTTAGACCTGCAAGTAACCAATAAATTTTTATGGATTAAAAAACGCATTTCATCCCTATATTCTTATTCTTATTTTTTTAAAATCTCTATTAAATTTTGTTAACTAATAATTTAGTTATTAAATTTTATATAATAGTTTAATTTCTTTAGTTTAAAATTTTGAACTCAACACCAACCCAATTAATAAATATTTTGGTTGGACTAGTTCAGGTTATCCAAGTCATTTATTCAAAATATTGTATAATAAAAAAATAAATACTAATATCTTAAATATTTATTTACATATTTTTTAACATTTAATCAATATTCTTAAGCAAATAATATATATCTATAGGGGTGAATTCACAATAAAAAATTGTTTTTAAAAGTAGATTTTTTGAATAAAAATTCATAAAGAATTATTGAAAATGTATCCATATATGATTTTAAGGTAATAAAAGAAATGATCTTAAAATTAATAATAAGTTCGAGTCGGTCAGGTCCAACCCAGATTTAATTAAGTTGAACTCTTAAATCAACTTCAATTTATAAAGCTTTCATTTATTCGAAGTCATATGGATTGGGTTGAGTTGATCTGTTTTTTTTTTTTAACATCTCTATCCACATCCACATGCATAAGAAGCTCCATTACTTCTCCGCCATTAAAAATTTTAAACTAAAAACGACTAAATTATTAGATAATAAGGTTCTCCATAAATCGAATCATTATATATTAAAATTGAGAGAGATTACTTTCACACGGACCAAATGTGAATTTTGAGCTTTTAGATCGTGTTTGCTAAGGACCCGTTTGGTAATGTTCTTGTTTCCTGTTTTTCCTTTTTAATTTTCTTAAGAAATATAAACATTTTGTAACTAATTATGTTTCTTATTTTTCCTTCTTTTAGAGACGTTCTCTAAATTGTATAAAAAGTTTGGAACAACCAAAACAAGTTTCTTTCTTCGTTGTTCACATTTCCAATTTTGTTCCAAAACATAAATAAAAACATATGGTTTCATCATTCTTAAATCTATAGATGTTAGGGACGTGCAGTTCAATTTTTTTCAATAAAAATAGCATTACCAAATAGGCCCTTATTTTTTTTAGGTTTGAAATTTAGATATTACTTCAACAAAGACCAAAAAGAACGAAACCTCGGAAATTACATGAACAAAAAAAAAATAAAAATAAAAAATAAAAAAATAGAGGTACTAAAAAGAAAAGATTGAGGTGGAAGGGGTACCTAGGCAAATTGCAGTTGAGGGGGCGCCATTTGAAATGAAGATAAAGGCGGTCAGGGCGGCCATATTTGAGGCAATCAAATTCCTTCCGAATGAAAGGACATTCCGACGAGTTATACAGCGGAAACTCGGAATCAAATTCCCATTTTCCGCTGTAGAAATCGCATTTTCTTTCCTCTCCATCATTTTCCGAGCACGTCGCAAACCCAATCATCGAAACCAGAACCAGAATCATCAGAATCCGTTTTCCCATCTAAATATTTTCCCGAGAAACCCAGTAGAGAAATTTTCTCGTGTTTATTTTCTGTGCAGCCAAACAGGGGACACATATAGGTTCTGAGTTTGTGTGTAGATTTGGAAAGTTGGGTTCCTTTTTGAGCAAAAGTTTAAGGTTATGGGAAAATCAAAATCCTTGTTCCAATCCCATTGGGATTTTCCTCTCCACTCCTCACACATTAATTCCCTTTCCCTTTTTGTTACCATTTATTCAATCCATCCAACTTGGATACCATATGCTGTGGGATTTCCTCTTTGTTTTTTTTTCCTTTTCTTTTGTGTCAATGTGTTTTTTAAATCCCTCTTGTTTAAAAATTTTTGTTAGATATTTCAAACTTTGTTACAATTTAGTCCAAGTATATGGTTTTTGTTTTTGTAATTTATAAAAATAAACACGTTTCGTCTCTCATCAATTTAATCAACTTTTTACGGACTAAATTGTTGTAAATTTTAAGCTATAATAACTAAATCGTTATCAATTTTTTAAATAAATGGACTAAAGTTCAAAACCAAATTTGGTTTTTAATCTATTTACAAATATGATGTATGGTAAGATATTTACAAATATATTCTCTAGTATTGATTTTCTCTCTCTCTCTATTTTTTTAGTACGAACTTTATTTTCTCTCATTGATGGGTTGGATGGCATGATTTTGTTTATAAAATATATCCATTTATTATTATTTTTTTTTAATATACTTCTTATTTGGTTCCCATTGATGCATATATATATTTTTTATAGAGGTTTTTATACTCTCGACTTTTTACCATGCGAATTTTTGTTTTGATCCATGTACTTTAAAGATCATTTTGGTCCTAAATTGAAAATTTTTTAATACAAATTCTATGCATCCGTACAAAATTATGGCTATATTTCAAGAATTAGATCCTACCAAATCAATGTATTAGATCGGCTAATCTCTTGAAACTCACTAATTTAATAAAAAAAAATCAGCTCTACATGTCGTAATAAAATTTCTATTTGTAATCCATAAAACTCATCATTAATAAAATTTAATTTAATAATTCTTCAAACATAAGTGGATTAAAAGCTTCCAAGTTAATAATACTTATCCAAGTCTAAATTCTAATAAGATGAATGGATTATGGTAAAAAATTGATTCCCTCTCCTTAGTTAAACCGTGTTAAAAAAAAAAAGGGATTGATTTGTACTTGCCAAATTCTTTTTCTTTCTTACAAAGTCAATGGAAAGTTACTTAAGTAAAATTTGTTTTCCAAAACCAAACTCACAACCCCCATCTCCTAAACTTTTCAAAAGATTCATTGAATTGAAACAAAAAAGAATTTCAATTTCCTTTTAATGTGATCTACTAAAATAGAAATCTAAAGATGTTGGTATTTCTTGTTTTATGTTTTTATTTTTCAT